GGTAGAGAAAGATGGCCCTGAGTATCCTTCTAGCTCAGACATTGAGAGTACAGGACTTTCCGTCATCTGGAGCACGGTGTCTGAGAGGAGCGTGTGCCTATCTGGTAGTCTTGACTTTGAGGCCTTACAGGAGTCTGTGGCAGTAGGTAGAAAAGCTTTATCCCAATTGGTTGCATTGGCGTGGACAGTTTGTGAATTGCTGATCTCAGTTCGTTTCTCTTCTTGGGTCATAGTCAAGGACAGAAATAGGGAGCCCTGATAGAAAGGAAATAGAACGACATCCTAAGAAAAGACACCAAGAGTTCAGAAAAGCAGGAACGTGGAACATAGCTATTGCCTGTGACGTCAATGTCTGGGGGTAGGGCGTGGGGGGAGATGGCTGTGTTTCCAGCACATAGGTACACTGACATATTACGCATGTGTGCCTGTGTGTGTGCCTAGGGTCTCTGCATTCCACTGCTCAGCCCTTGGCTTCCCGTAACCAGGAGAAATGGCTTCAATAATGCTGTCTCTCTCTTCTCTTTTCTCTCCTCTCCTCTTCTTCCCTCTTCTCTTTTCTTCTCTCTTCTCTCCTAATCTTCCTTCCCATTTTTTTTCTGTCATTCTTTCTACCTCTCCCAGCCTCCACTTTCACAAGGGACTTGAGTCGTCTTGCAAAACAATGACATATATCTATGTTAAGGCTGAAAAAAAGTTCAGAGCTTATGTAGAGGAAAGGAGAAGATTATTGCACCAGGTACCAACAATGATGTAGTTGTGGTGATTTAGCACTGAATTTGACTGAGCTGCCTGGCAGCCAAGGCAAAGAGGGATATGTAGTGGTTTCCAAAGTTTCTACTGTTCAATCAGAGGCAAATTAACCATTCGTCAGGAGAAAAATTTTTTTCCTGGTAATAAATTGTAGGAGAAATTGACATGGAATTTGAATATTCTAATGAGCATGTCTCCAGGGGTTAAAAAAATAAGTTCTTTGTATGGCTATTTTCTTTTATTGCCTCTGACTAATGTTCAATGCCTGGTATTCCATCACAGACCAGTGAAGGCACTTCCCCAGGGGCTTTAATTAACGCTATACATGGACATTGTTTTCTGGTCACCTGACTTGATGAGGAGTAGAAGTGGGAGGTTAGCGTATCACTTGGAGCTCTTGTGGAAACACCCCCCAGTTCATTTTTGAGTGTTGTGGCTAGTGTCATGCGAACAAGTCATACATTTACTCATTCAACAAGCACTTAGGGGGCTCTAGGGATGCTCCATGCTCCATGCTTTCAAGGGAACCTGGAGAGAGATAGACAAACTGCCATTATATGTAGTGGGAAGTAGGATAATGGAGGTCTGTGCAAAATGTAGTCAAGTATGAAAGCACAGATAAGGGAGTCATGATTTTTTTCGTAGGAGTGGGGAACCCAAGAATGGCTTCACTGCGGAGGTGGCATTTGAGCTGGGTGTTGTGGACAGTGTAGGAGTTGACTAAGTGAGTGCATGAGAGGGGCCCTCCAGGCAGAGATAGGACACTGCCTGGAGGGGCTGAGGAGCAGCCAGTATAACAAGGTTTCGAGGAGCCCAGGAAAACAGACTGGGGAGAATTCCACTGCTTTTAAAAATCACAGACAGCTCACAGGAACAGACAGTGATGAGGACTTAGGGAATAATCACACATCAGAACAAAATGACAGTATCCCCTGGTTCATGTGGGAGTAGAGTAAGAGCTGTACAATCCTACTGAAGAAGAGAGGCTGGGCTCAGGCCAGCCCTAGATCTTTAGGGAAGTCCACTTTACCTTCTGGCAGCCATTAGTGGTTGGGCAACTGGCTTTTGGACCCCTGTACACATAGTGGTCCAACCTGAAGTCGAGGAAGTGGGCAGGCCTGGCGGTGGAGTGGGGAGGAGTACAAGGATGCTGACTCTTGGCTGAGATGCTGCTTGGTTCTCCTAAGAATCACTTATTCATTTTTTCATCCATATGTTCATTGTGCAAGCCTTGCACAGTTGAGTCCCAGCTTTTTGACCTTTTCTTCTTCACCTCTTCTACTTTCGCCTCCTCCAATTATTGGCACGTGCCCTGTTTCTGGATCCTGTCCTCTTACTTCTGAGCTCTGGGGGTCAGAGGCTGCTCAAACCCAGGCAAAATAAAGCCTGCCCCAAGAAATCTTTCCTGACCACTTCCCGCCCTGTGTAAATTAATGGCTCTGAGCTCTTGTTCTAGTCTTCACGTGCCATCTTGCATGCCAGAGAGGCTCAATAAACACCGAACAGCCACTATAATCAGGCTTCCACTAGGGTACTCAGGAACAGAGAGGAGGGAGGCACCATCCCCACCCCCAGGGTCCCATAAACTCCAGAGGGTGCCATCTGAGAAGAGACCCTCTTTAGAGGCATTTTCGCCTCTGTCTTTGCACATGGCAGTGCACTGAAGGAGCAACTTCCAGTGAGTTTGAGTTCCAGTTCCTTCTTAGAGTGAATTAGCGGGCTAATGCCACGGCCAAGTCCCACTCTATGGAGGATGAAGTCTAGATAGTGACCTTTTCCCAGTAGCTCCCTCCTGCATGAAACGAAGACTGTGCTGGTCATGACCTATAGCAAGAAAAATATTTTCATCTTCACCTAGTACCTACCTACATATCTACTTATACGTGAAACAAATATTCACGAGCAGGACTTACTCTTTCTATGTGTGAGACCCTTGGCTATTTCCTGTTCTAGTTCATTCTCATTTCAATTTTTAGAATGCTGGTACTAGCAAATTGATTCCACATCTGTTAAAGGGTCAGGATGCACTGCGGTATGAAAATAATTAGGGTAATTGTCAAGACTTTGGAGTCAGACGGACCTGGGTTTGAATCCTGGCTCTGATACCTAGAAGCTATGTAACCCTCTCAGTTTCTTCATCTGTAAAATGGGGAAAACAGAACCTATTTCATGGAGTGATTGTGAGGATTAAACAGGATAATACCAGTAAAGCTCCTGACATAGAGTAAGCGATTGGTAAATGTGAGCTTTTGACATGGTCATGAGGTAATGTGCTGGCACCATTTGGTGGGGTGAATAGAATGAAAGCAAGATTCCTGCCTCCTGGGGCCTGGGGAGTGGTAGTCAAGAAGGGCTTCCTGGAGGAGGAGGCATAGAAACAGGGAGGTGGGATATCTGGGAACCACTACTGTCCTAACAGTGGCCAAGAATCCTGTGTGAGTATCCAAGGTCACTTGTTTCCTTTTCCACAAAGGACAGGCTTTGTTCCCAAAGATTTTTGGCCAGACCTAGAGCTGACCACATTAGATGCTTTTGCCTTTCACATTTAGGCCTCTAATCCACCTGGAATTGATTTTTGTGTCTGGTGTAAAGTTAAGATCCAATTTCTTTTCCCCCCTTGTTTCTGAATGGATAACCGGTTACCCCACAGTGTTTATTAGAGTCCATTCTCATCTGCTGATTTGTACATCACCTCTCTCATATATCAGAGTTCCATATATACATGGATCAGTTTTTGGACTTGCTTCTGTTTCATTGGTCTATTTATCTGTCTCTGTGCTGATCCCCCACTGTCTTAATTACTGCAGCTTTGTAGTGATTCCTGATGTCAGGGAGGTGTGTCCTCATCTTTTCTTTCTCCCTTAGAAGAACCTGGGCTGGCATCGGTTCTGTGCTCTTCTCTGTGTTTCAGAATCAGCCTCTACCGAAGATAATTGAAGAGCCCTGGGAGCTCTGGACAAATTGTCCTCAGTGAGACCCCATCTCAGGGTCCTGTGCCTATAGTACCTGCTAGACTCACAGCTGCCATCCTTCCCGGTTGGCATTTAAACTGCCCAGAGAGCACTTTTTAATTCATTTGTGAAGAAAAGTGTCAAGAATGTGCCTGAGTCTGAGTTCCCTCTGCCCGCTCCTCCGGTTTCCCTGCCTATGGCTCAGTCCTCATCGTCCTAGCCAGGGAGCCTGCAATTTCTTTCAGAAGGCTGCTTGCTTCCCTGCCCCTGTATGCCAAGGACATAATTCTGGACAGACTGAGACGTGTCTTCCATTGACAATGCCAGGGTCCTGGAGGGAACTTCCCATGCCAGAGCTTGGCATGCACAGCCAAATTCTTTGGCTTAGGTATTTGCAAATATTTGCTTTACCTAAAAAATAGGCTTGGGGGTTGGGTGGGAGATGAGACCTGTCACTCATGCTTATAATTTAGTCTGTCCTTGAATAGGGAGACCCAGGTGGCATCTTTACAACCTTTTCTGACAGTGGCTTGGATGCCAAGGAAATGACTCATCACAAGCTCCGATTTCACGAAATGGCTTAAAGAAAGGAGCATGACTCATGGGCCAAATGCACGTGGTTGGCACGGACTTGGTAAATCAGATGTATGCGCCCCACAGTTTTCAGCATGCAGGTGGTTGGTTACATGCTTCCAGAATTCACAAACACTTGCCAAACTGTGCCTCAGTTGGCCTGATGTATTGAATTTTGGGTGACATGTTATGGTGAACCATCTGCTGGATTAGGATTCTGCCCTGTCGGCCTTGGACAAAGCCTTCTTCCCCTTGGGCCTCAGTTTACTCATGTGCGAAATGAGGGTTTGATAGGATGATGTCCCAAATTCCCGTTAATCTTGTTTCTGTGACTCTATGTCTATGGTTTTAGAGCACAGAGTCAGAAACCTTTCCTTCTAACCTCTTGGCAACAAGGCTCTTATTTCTGCCTTGCTTTTGGTTATCGGTGTCTCTTTCTCCACATTGAAGAGGGTAGTTGCCTCTGGCTGCTGGGGCTGGGCGAGGGGAACCTGCAGGCCACAGAGAATCTGGGTTTGAATCTTGTGACACTGCACTGAACCTTGCCCACTTCTGTATATGGGCAAGATTGTTGATTCTGGACACTGTCTTGTTCCGTCAAGCTGAACGTGCCCTCCTAACACCGGCACAGCAGCCCAGCTGGGTGGCTGAGCCCAGAAGATGGTGGTGGCATTTGGCTGGGGTGCTTTGGAGTCTCAATGCTGACTGTTTTGTTTCTTTTTTCAGACCCCCGAATATTCAACCATGGCCTCACTGGCTGGAGGGCTAGATGACATGAAGGCCAACCTGACCAGCCCCACCCCTGCTGATATTGGGAGCAGCGTGCCCGGGCCGCAGACCTACCCCATTGTGACAGGTGAGGACACCCGGGGTGTGGGGGATATGTGTCAGGGAGTGAAACAGAGAGAGAGAGAGAGAGAGAGAGAGAGAGAGAGATTGAGAATGCCTGTGTGGTGGGAAGAATGGCTTCTTGGTGCCTTTGGACTTGACTGGCCATTTTTGTTTTAATGAGGCTGAGTTCCTGGAACAGGTCAGGCAGGAAACTGCTGGGGCCAGGGGTTATGGCTACTTTGAGAAACTGCTGTAGATTGCTCTGATGAAGTTGGAGGAAAGCAAATGCCATGCTGAGAGGGTTGGCTGGGAAGCCTCATGTCATGGGGGCCTGGTGATTTCAGGCTCCCTTATGCGTAGAGCCGAGTGTTCAGAGGCCCGGGATTTATCCCCCTCGTGGGAAGGGTAGTCCCGGTTGGCACCAGCCTTGAGGACGAGTGGGCCTCCTGGCAGATTGTTATTGGCATTTCAGATTTCCAGGCAGAGTCCAAGTCAAGAAGGGCAGGAGGTTGAGGCTGGTGTATGCAAAGCTGCTGCCTTTCTGGAAGGCCCAGGGTCAGCCTCTTTAGCTGTCAGTATAAAGATGAAGACTTTGGGCCCTTGAGGCCCAAATACTGCTGCATTTGAACTTGCCGTTGACTAGCTGTGTAATCTCAGGTATGTTATATAAGAATTATGGTTTGTAGTTTTTTGATTTCTAAAATGGGAATGATGACACCTACCCTATAGTTATTATATTAATTAATTAACTATTGTATTTAGTTATATTATACATAAGATATACTTAGTTATATAAATATATATTAAGTTAAATAATATGTAATATATAGTTATTATGTTAATTAATGTAATAATAATTATATTAATGCATATAATGCCTAGACTCTTGTCTAGCATACAGAAGCACCCCACACATGTCACTATTATTTCTCAGAGCCCTCTCATGGTGGCCGATCACCACTGTGCTCGATGCTGCAGGAGGGGCTGGACTGGAAGGACCCAGACAGACACCTCTTTCTGCTCCAGTAGCACTGGTTCAGACTGAGCTGCCAGTCCTGGGAGGTTGTCCAACCTGGCAGGCAGGAGGTAGTCTCAGATACTATATAGACAGATAGTGGGGAGCTGAGAGCAGCACTTGGGCCAGAGCTTTTGGGTCCAGCCTGAGGTACCAGGATGTCCCTGTAGGCTAATAGGCAGGACATAGTAAGTAGTGACAGAGATAGGGGTTCTTCGAAATGCAGGTGGGCTGTGGTTGCATTAGGGAAGCTGGAGGCTGGACTCAAGTTTGAACTTTTGGGGCAGGGGCCGGATGAGACAAGGGGTCAAGGCTCTGAGACCTGGGGTGATAGTGCTGGTAGCACTGGGGTTATGGGCCTCAGGCAGAAGCAGCTGGGGCCCTGTTTGCAGATCTTGGCACCATGTGCGTGTCAGTCAAGTGGCAAGAGTGACTTGGTTCCCTGTCTACCTGAGATGGGGGAAGAGCCTGGAGGGCAGCTGAGCCTGCAGGTAGGGAGATGTCACCAATGGGACAGGGGTAGAGGTGCAGGGAGCCTCAGTCAGAGTGATATCCTATGAGGTCCTCCCTGCTGGTGCCATGAGGATCCATGGCAAGACCTCTGACAACACACCCATTTTACAGATGCAGAAACCAAGTCTCAGGGAGAGGCAATGACTCAAGGCTTAATATAAGGGGTAACGGGGAGAGTTGGAGCCGGCCCTCAGTCCTAGATCCTGGTCCTTATTCTTTTCAAGGAACTACAAATAATTAGGGAGGTGGGGGTGATAGAGTGGAAAGAAGCCTGGACTAGTTAATAATAATAGTAACTGTCACTTTATCAAGTATTACTAAGTATCAGGTACTCTGCTAGGTAAACTCGTTTTACTCTAAGAAGAATGCTGGGAGGCGGGTACTATTATGTTCATGCCCATTTCATACACAAAGAAACTGAGGCCCGGGGCAATTACACAGCTTTTCAGAGATCACAGCCAGTGAGCAGTAGAGTTAAAACTGAACACAAGGGCCTGTACAGCCAACCGCTCTGCCACACAGATAATCTTGGGGCTAATACTGACATTGTCTCTTCCTTGTGGTCTGGCTTTGGACTCATCCCTGAGCCTCAGTTTCTCTGTATGTAAAATGGTCCTGTCTCTAGGGCCCTTTGAGGATCAAATGAGATTCCAGAGGCGACTGCTCTGCAGAGGAAGGATTTGTTGTTAGGATTGGGGCTCATGGGAAGCTTGGGTTTAGGCAGATTACAAGAAGACATTCTATTCTACCATCTGTGCACAAGCTTGTTTAGATGGAAAAGAAGCCAGTAAATGTTGAGACTGTGGTTGTACTTCTGAGGCTTTTCTCTGCTAAAGTAGTTTACTGATGGCCAGTTGGCCAAAGGATTAGTCCAGCCCCCAGATATGGTTCGTTGGGCCCATATAGGACCTTTTACGAATTTGAGTGAACATTTAAAAAGTTAAAATCTGAATTTCTGGCTTCCCTTGAAAAATCAGATCTCAGCATCTTCCTGCATGGTTGCAGTAGGCGGGGGCTCAGTGGCAGCAGTTCCTCCAAACAGACGCCCACCTAGCGGCTCTCTCATCTGTCTCACAATGGAGAGGAGTTTGAGTCTAATACTCTGATCTGGAAAGTTGGTGTTAAAAGCCTGCCGAGTGGTTTAGCGGTCCAGGGGTCTGCAGGAGGCTTTAGTAGGCCCAAGTGGCAGGTCTGGGTATGGGCTGAGTTTTCAGGTAAGACCAAAGACTTATTTGTATTTTGACCTATCCATTTTAAAGTCACGTTATAGAGCAGAAAAAGAATATAAATATCTCAAACGAAGTCCGAATTATGCTGACTTTTGAAATTTAAGAGTATTCTAATTATAAATATAAATTTATATAATTTTATAAATATAAGCATTAGCTTTCTCGTATGTAAACAAGAGCCATCTAGAAAACATAATAGAAGAAAACATTACCAATAACAAAAAGATAGAATGCTGAGGAGTAAATTTAACTTTAAAACTCCATCAGGGGACATAAAAGAATAGAAATATATAGTTTGTTCTTGAATAGGAAAACTTAATATCGAAATGTCAGTTTTCTCTAAGTAATCTATTAATTCAAAACAATCCCAAAATAGCAAGAGGATTATTTTTTTTTTTGGAGCATGTCAAAATGACACTAAATACTGGATAAACAGTCAAAGACAGCTAGAAAAAATCTGAAATAGAGAAATGAGTAAAATAGCATATTTAAAAACTTTATGATAAAGCTATAATAATTAAAACTATTTATTACTGAAACTGAAGTAAGTAGACAAATGAAACAGCTTTGAGTCCAGAAATAGGTCTAAAGATATGTGGATGTTTACAAATGCAACATTTCAAATCAGCAGAGAAAAAAATCATTCAGTTAATGGTGTTGGGGTAATTGGGCCTATTGGATCCACACCTCACTCTTTATTCAAAATTAATTCCAGATTGATAAAAACTTTAAATGTAAAAAAAAAAAAACCCATAATAAAGCTATAAAAAAAACAGTGGAGAAATTTTTTTATAATCGTGGAGTGGGGAAGGCCTTTTAAAATTTGTTCCAAATACAAAAGACAAAAATAATATAAATGGCTATTTAAATATAAATCTTTTGTGTGTATGGAAAAACACCCAAAGACAAAGAACAAAATTGAGGGAAAACAAGTGGGACACAGATGACAAAAAGCTAATTTCCTTAATATATAAAGAGCTTTTAAAATCGAATAAGAAAAAAAATCATTAGAAAAGACAGGTAAAGAATATAAATAGGAAATTCAATGGGGAGGGGATGCAGCTGTTCAACAGCTTATGAAAAAATATGTACCTGGCTCATAATTTTAAAACAGCAAATTAAAACAATCATGAGATGCTTAAAAAAACCTATTAACTTATCAAAGATTGAAATATTTTTTGAGGTCCAGTGTTGGAGAGGGTATGAGAAACAGATGTTTTCATATACCATTATAGATGTATAAATCAGTGCAATCTTTTTTAGAGAGAAATTTGTCAATATCTATCAAAAGTTTAAATGCACACACCTACCCTCTCTAATCTTTTTATATGCACATTTAGGACTTTATCTCGCAAATCTGTTTGCACAAATGCACAATGACACCTACATCTGTATGTTAATTACAGAATTATTTATAATGGCAAACAAATGGAAACAACATAGTGTCTATCTATAGCAGGTGGTTAAATAAATTATGGCTCCTTCATACAACAAAATAACATGCAGCCATTAAAAAGAATTAAGTAGAGCTGTCATGCTGATGTGAATAAATGTCCAAGATATATTTTTAAGTAAATAAACAATTCGTAGAATAATATGTTAAGTACAATCCCACTGGTGTGAAAAATATAAAGGGCATACACACAATGGCAAGGACACACATGCAGGGCAGATGAGAAGATCCCCAGTCCTTTTCTCTGCTCGATGGGACATTGTGTGCTGTGCTCAAATAGAGGTTCTCTGCCCAGTCCCACCCAGTGTCCCCTTGAGATAGCAAACCTTAACAGTCCCTCTCTACTCTCCTGAAATTAAGTTCATAAAAAATAGGGCTTAGCTTCACATCTAATTTCAAATAAAATCGAAATAACGCTACTTAACCATGAGATGAAGGAGAAAAGGAAGTGAAATTGTTTATAATTAAATCTGTGTACTTTGATAAGTAAATACTCTGCATGTCTAACTGCGAGACGTAATGAAGTGGTCTAGGGCTTGCCCCATGAACAGAATCACCATAAATGCAACTGGCCTGAAACTGACTTATGCAGGAGTGTGGTCGTAGGGATTCATACTGACTCAAACAGGGAGCGTGATTTTGCCAGTAGGTGAGCAACTCTTGGCAAAGTTCCAAATGAAACAAGGTATACGCTTTGCTCGAGTTACACGGTAGTTGCACTCCTAGAAAATTCAGTGTATATTGATCATGGAAATTGCAAGTTCACATTTATATGCAAATGAAGTCTAGTTGTGGATTCAAATAATTACAAACAG